AGGAGTCTGCAGTGCACTGACCACGCAGGCTTCTGCAGCGCACTGACCACACAGGCTTCTGCAGCGCACTGACCACACAGGAGTCTGCAGTGCACTGACCATACAGGCTTCTGCGCAGCCTGTGTTGCTGTGGAAAAGTGCCTCAGACTCAGAAACAGGGCTGTTGGGTCCTGCCAGGAGTACAGAAGAGATGCAAGAGGGCTGGAAAGTGTGTGTGCCTGTGTGTGTGTGTGTGTGTGTGTGTGTGTGTGTGTGTGTGTGTCGGTGCGGCTCCTGCTAAGTACTTCCTTCACGACACAGCTAATCCGATTAGCAGCTTTAGGAAACTCCGAAGCGTTCATTCAAGAGCTCCATTCACAGAGCAGCTAGGCCCATGCCTGCTCGGGGCTCCATTCTTCTCACAGCAAATCAAAAGCCTACAGAGAGGCTCTCCCCGAAGGACAGGCTCTTGCCTCCTGGCCCCATGCACATCCAAACGCCACCACCACATCCTCCGGTCAGTCGGCTAGCTCCCGGGACTGGGGATTGAGCCCATTCAAAAAATGGAGAAGCTAGAACTCTTTCCACTACACACACAAGCGGGGGGGGGGGGGTCATTTCACCAGCGCTGTCAGCCAGGTGGCCTCCCGCAGCTGGCAGCTGTACTAAATGAAGAGGTGTCACAGAGGCGCTCTGTTGCAGGGCTGGTGATGAGTCACCAGCTGTCTCTGGTCTTCATTCCTTTGTCTGTAGAATGGGGACTTAGAGCAGAAGGAGCTGCTGGGACAGAAGGCTGGAGGGAAGGAAGCTCAGGGTGTGGACAGACACGATGTCATTGGGGTTGGACAGAGGACAGAAAGGGAAGGGAGCCTCTGTAGACTGAACTGGGAGCCAGACTAAGGAAGCAGTCAGATAAGCAATAGGAGCAGCTGAAGGGGTCTAAGCTGAGTTGTGTTTGGCTTGGGGCAGCATCCCTCCGGGGTCTGTCTCCATCTTTGCATGCCCTTCTGCTCTGTGCTCCTGCATCTTTTCCTCCTCTTGTAAACACTGGGTCACTGGATTTAGGGTCCACTCTGAACCAAGGAGGATCTCATCTCAGGACCCTTCAATAACTACATCCGCAAAGTCCCTATTCTGTGGGTCACTTTCTAGTAGACATGAATGGGGGAACACGATTCCATATATACAATATGGTACAGTGGCCAGGAAGGTGACCTGGATGCAGGATGAGGACAGAGAGAGCCGAGGCAGGAAGCACGTTAGAATTCAGTTCAAGCCTGTGGCCTACATGAACAGTGAGTCTAGTCCCTGCTGGGAGCCCCAAAGACCTCAGAGAACACCAAACTTGCTCCTAAACAAGAACATGGCTCCCCACTATTTTAGACTCCTTCCCAAACCGTTCTCCACTCCTTCCAGATGGCCAAATGGCAATGGGGTGGCCAGGGAAGGAAGCAGCAAACCTGGACTAGTTCCACATAAGCTCCAGGTGGGATGCTGCCCCTAAGTAAGATGAACAGGAGCATCTCCGGCGCACCTCTAGACAAAGATGCTGGCTGCTCCACCTTAGAAGCAACTGACATCCCTGTGTTCTATAGCTTAGAGAGCAGCTCCAACTTCACAGGGTAAACAGGAGAGTGGCTGTGTGCCGCTCTACAGTGACAGCCATTTCCTGTCACCATGTTCAGGGACTTCAGCCTTCTTCTACTGGAGCTCCCTTCTCAGCAACCAAGAAAGAAGACTGCTCTTATCAAAGTTTAGGAACTAGGTGAGCTATAACAAAGAACGCATCCTTCCCCATGTTTGAACCTAGCAAGAGTGGGTAAGGGTGGCTCCATTGAATTTTATTTTTACCCCAGAAAATGTTTGAAGATCTACGTATAAATTTCTTTCCAGAAACATCATCTTTCATTTTAAAATTACATCAAAAGGGAAGCCACCTTTACATCCACATATAAGAGCTTACAAGAGTTGTGGCAGGGCTGCCTGTGGATCACTAGCTAGTGTCCTTGTCATCATAACAACTCACTGGCATGCAGTGAGGGGCACCCATGACAGGATGTTACCCAACACGTAGACTATGCCAGCACATCCCAGTAAGACCTTTGTGTTTTAAAAAGGAAAAAAGTGTGTGTGTGTGTGTGCATGTGTGTGTCTGTGCGTGTGTGTGTTTTTGCATGTGTGTGTGCGCACGTGTGTGTGCATACATGTGTGTGCATGTGTGTGCATGTGTCTGTGTGTCTGTGCATGTTTGTGCGTGTGTGTGTGTGTGTGTGGCTGCACACATGACCATAGCACATCAAGGCAGAAATCAATTCTGTAAATAGTGTCAACGATCCCTGGGGCTGCAATAACAGGATTTCCCTTTTCCACTTAGGAGCCTTTGCACTTTAAAAAAAAAATCAAACAGTATTAGTTTAATCAGCAAAATCAATTTTAAAAATTCCCAACCTGAAAATAAAATAACTGCTCTAGGTAGACACAAAGTGCAATTGACCCTCAGAGAAAAACAATTGGAACAAAAATTACCTTGCCATGAAAACACTCTGAGAATAAAACCTGCACTAAGCTGAGGAAGGAGGACATCAGTGGCATTGAGAGGCTTGGTGTCCGGGCCCCCAAGCCCTTTCATATGCAGCAGTTTCTCCCAGTCTTCACTTTGGTTCCAATCTTTCCTACACAGTCTTCTCTTTGCTAATATTAAGGAGAATTGATATTTCTTAAACATTTATCTGGTGCCAGACGCAACACATATATTCTTTTTTATGAGCACATGATCTCACTTGGAAGAAAGAATTATTTATATTCCCATTTGTCAGGTGAAGAAACTGAGGCCCACCTCTGGATTTCAGCCCAGGTAGTGCAAGCCCAATGCCTGTTACTATGATCAGTGCACATCACATTCTTCTGGAACCAAAGACTTCTTGGCATGCCTGACTTCCTGAAGAAGGCCAGGGTCTGCATCTTCTGCTTCCACTGTCTCCTTGTCCCTATCAGCACTGGCCAGCATCTTCCAGGTCCAAGGCACTGGCCTCCTCCGGGGAGTCCAAAGCTGAATGTGATCTGTCCTCTACTAGTTCACAGGACAAGGACAGAGAAGATAGATCTCCGAGTCCCACATCCATCCTGAGCAAGTGTTCTGAGGAAGGCAAACCACTAGGTTTTCCTCACACAGCATTCTCAGGTGACCATCCCTGGAGGGGACACTAGCAGCTGTGCAGGGTATGGTGTCTGGCCGCTGCCTGGCCTCTCAGGTGCCTTTCCCCCACATCTGCTCTTCCTGAACCCTCCAGCTATGGTAAGACCCTGGGAGCGGCAGAAAGAGAGCTGATGGGGCAACTCTGAGGACTTCTAAAGACACAGGGCCTGTTGTGTAGGCCAGAGGGTGACAGGAGACCCATGTGAAGGAGCCTAAAAATCCAAAACCACTAGCAGACTCTGCATGGGGACCACTCCTGCTTTCTAAGTCATCACGTTCCCCCTGGAGTGTGACTTAACACAATCACTGTCGGAAATGATTTGACAGTATCAGTTTGAACCCCGGTCCTGGCCATTCCACCCAGGGCAGCTACCCAGGAGCAACAAGTACTCAAGGTGCTAGGTTCATCCATTATCAGATTTATTATAGCAAGAAACCCTGAGCTGCCCAAATGTCTGCCAGCAGAAGACCATTGGCTAAGCTAGGGGCCATCCAAGCAGCAGAATAGTTCCCAACCCTGGAAGGGGATGAACTGTTCCGTCAACCATGTGTGCCTGAATGTGCAGTAGTGAGGGCTGGTACAAGGTAACAGGATAGCACACACTGCAGGGTCTAGACCGCACAGGCAAAACGGGGCCAGGTTAGGTTAGTGGTGATGCTGGGGTGAGCATGGGGGATGTACAGGAGTCTTTGGGGTCGCCACGGTGAAAAACCCATCACAGTGTGCGCACAAGGTAGTCAGTGTTCCCTGGCTTTGAGGGATGCTGCAAAAGAAGTTTAAGACCCACTTTCAGTACAGATTCATTAGGTCATCTTCTCCAGACCCCTGGGAAGGACCAAGGACGAGTGTGAATGGGGTGTGAACAGATGTCGCGGTAAACCATGGAGAGATGGCTTGTTCTGCTGTAGCACAACTAAGGCTGCGGGTATGCTGTCGTGAAGATTAATTCAATTCTTCATTGGAAACCCTAGTCAGCTTTTCAGACCACGTAGAAGAGGCCACAGAAACTCCAGTGTTGCTTGTAGACTCAGACACCACAAAGGAAGTCTGACGTATCTAATGGTTCCTTCCAGTTCCCAGTCCCTAGCAATGGTTCCATGACCTTGTGACAACACTGGCCCTTCATCTGCCAACCCCTTTGAGAACTTTGCAGCTATTTCAGACAGAGGTAGAGGTTAAGAGCCAGTGGCTGGCTGTTCTGTTTTTCTGACCTTTGGGTTGAACTCCAATATCTGTACTGCTACATTGGGCCCCAGGTTCAGTGAGAGACTTTGCCCCACAAAAGGTAGAGAATGGGCGAGGAAGGCACTTGACATTGACCTCTGACCTTCACACACATGCACACACAATTGTACATGATCCTGTATGCACAGGTGCACAAATGTGAGCAAGTACTTGCTACAGACACACACACACACACACAGAGAGAGAGAGAGAGAGAGAGAGAGAGAGAGAGAGAGAGAGAGAGAAGAATCAGCTAAATTTAAGGTCGCAGATCTGTGCCTCCATCAGAGGAGGTGATGTGGTCCCTCCAGGCCTTCCACACAGGTTTCTAGACCTACAGGTCAAAGATACCAAAGATTCCTAGTGGAGCCCTCAAGCAGCGCACGGGGTTACAAACAGATCAGGAGGCCGATACTTACCAGTGTTGTGTGTCATTTCCTCTGTGGACGGCTTCGTCCAGTCTTCAGTCTTGTCGATGTGAAATAACTTCAGGTCCTCCTCTTCCAGGGCAATGTCTCCCCAGAAGACAGCTAGCAAGAGAAAGCACATTGGGTCAACTAAGCCTGCAAGTCAGAAAAAGGATTTGCTAAGCTCCCAGAAAGCACCAGATGCAAGGAGCAAATCCTAAAAAGACAGTTCTGCCAATCAAAATTCTCCTAGAGCCTCAATGATAATTGCATTAAAGTCATGGTATCTGGGCCAATCATCTTGAGAACCCAGAGCCTTGGTTGCTAAACACCCCTGTCTCACCTCGCTCCAGGCAGCTACAGACTAACTGACATAGAGACAACCGTTTCTTTCCTCTTCTGTCCCTCTTCTATAAAAGAAAAAGCACAGAGCCATTGTTTGCACACCGGTTACAATATCTGCTGCCCTTCTTTGTGCAGGACCCCCCCCCATTCTACATGGTTCTTTGTAGGGACAAGCAACACTCTAGACCAGCCATTCTCAACCTGTAAGTCACGACCCTTTGGGGCTTGAATGACCCTTGAGTTGCCTAAGACCATCAGAAAGCACAGGTATTTACATTATGATTTGCAACAGTAATCAAATTACGGTTATGAAGTAGCAATGAAAATAATGTTCTGGTTGGGAGGAAGGACCACAGAGGTGCTGTATTAAAGGGCCGCAGCATTAGGAAGGCTGAGGACCACTGCTGTAGACCGTCAAACCCAGCACCCTGATTCTTGAGCACAGGTAGGGGCTTATCGGGATGCACATGTAATTCTGCTTTGGAGGTGTGTCCCCATAGGCCCATGTACTAAAGGTGTGGACCTAGAGTGGCCCCCACTGGAGGTAATGAAGCTGTGAGACAGGATCATAGGTCCAGACCCCTCCCCCCTTTCTCTACGCTCTGGTGTTCTTCTCTACCAGGTGCACCCCCACAGTCCTGTTCGGCAAATCACTTGACCCATTTCAGCTTCGGCTTCCTCATCTGGGGATAAAATTTTTGCAGCTGGAGTTCATATTGTGTGAGAAATAACTGAGATGAGGTTTGCTAACAGCTGGCACAGGATGGGCCATGGTGAGTGTGTAGGGAATCACAGAGGAGTTCTTTCCTGGTACCTGTTTCTCCCCCCACTCCTTCCTCCCTTCATCCTGAAGACCCCTGCTGGCCACAACTCTCACCTCTCCTCTGGTGAATTCCCCTCCCACCCTGACACACCCCTGCCTGTCTCTGTGTTGCTGTAGGGTTTAACTGTGCCATCTGTCACCTAACTTATGCGGGACCTGGGCATGTACCTGCGCATGCTAGGCTTCAGGCAGACAGGGCCGGGGGCCAGGGCAGCACATCTAGAATTAGAGTTGTTGTACTTAACAGCTAGCAGTAGGTTCAATCTGTGTGTTACTTTGTTTTTCCTTTCTTATATTGATATTCTCTTACCGATTCTGTACTGTTGCAAACCAGAAAACAGAGCCTCAGCAAAGAACATCACTTATTCAGGGTCACACAGCCAGCAAGTAGCAGAGCCTGCCTCCAGCCCTCATCTCTCCAGCCCCAGCCCTCCTCACCATCTACCTCTGCTCAGCTTCTCCACTTTGCCTGACTCTAAACGCCCTGAAGATAGGCTCTGGATTGATGCACACATTTCATCTGCCAAAACCCACTTCCCACACCGAGGAAAGTCAAGCCAGAGGCCACAGAGTATGGAACAGAATCGGGCAGATGCTGCCTGTGAGACACTGGCAAACAACCTAAGCTCCCTGAGCCTCAGCTTCTTCATCTCTCAGGTGGAGATGGGTAGTGAAGCCACTTCCTTCCTGTGAGCATCAGACAGAACGACGTGAGCAAGTGTTGAGGCCAAAGTGGGCACCTGGATCCACTCAATGACCACAACAAAACATTTTCTGTCCTATAAACCTCAAGATCCTCAGAAGCGGTCTACATGACTAGTGATGTATAGTTAGACTGAGTGCTATGCTTTCTAAAGGAGGGATGCTTCTATCCCTTGAAACGTTGTCCCTCACAAATGCCTAACCCAGGGTGGCCTTTTCCCACAGCAGCCACGAAAAGGTGTGGGACTGGCTTTGAGGCACTACACAATGGGCAGGGCCCACCTCAGGGCCCAGAGAACCCTGGCCACAGTCAGTCATGGTTCCCTCCCTGTGGCTCCCATGGGCTTCCTGTGATGGGATCTGGACCCCAAACTCTGCTTTTCTGGCCTAGAGATTCCCCCAGACTCCATCCCAAGACCTCCAAAGTGGATCCCAGGGACACCACCAAAGATGGCTCGAGAAGCTACCTGCCCACAACTCAGAATCGCCTGGTGTTCAGACAGTGACGTTCAGTGGAGATTCAGCAACCCCGATGTAGTTGGTTGTTTTACTCTTTGTTCTTTGGGGGCCTGCCACCCAGCTCCCAATAAATACATGGAGACTCATTCTTATTTATGAATGTCCTGCCTTAGTAGCGTGGGCTTATTTCTAGCCATCTACTTTTTGCCTCTGGCTTTTGCCTTTCTCTATTCTATATTCCTTTTCTTTCCTCCTTATATATAATTGATTATGTAGCCAGGTGGTCAGCCCCCAGCATCCTCCTCTCCTTCTCTTCCTCTCCTCCTTCTCTTTTCTGTTCCTCTCCTATTTATTCTCTCTACATGCCAGCCCTGCCTAATTCTCTCTCCTGCCTAGCTATTAGCTGCCCAGCCCTTTATTATTTATTTATTATTTATTATTATAGGTTTAGACAGGCAAAGTAACACAGCTTTACATAGTTAAACAAATGCAGCATAAAAAAATGCAATACATCTTTGCATCATTAAAAAAATCCACAACATAAAAGAATGCAACACGTGTTTAACTAATATTCCACAACACCCCAAACTCCTTTCACAATGTGTTTTCCAAGCCATGGAGAAGGGCTTTAGTACTCTCTCTGCAACTCACTGTAGTTAATATTGGGTCTCCATGGAGAAGAACAAGACACTAAAGAGGGAGGCTCTAATAACAGAAGTGCTGTAATTGATTAGTGATGACTACCATGGGCACAAGTGGGGAGGTACAACCCTTCTCCCATATGACTGCTAGCTTTGCTTTTGTTGATAGAAAGGAAGATGGCCTCACACTGTTTTAGAAAAGAAAACAAGTTTGATCAAAAGCAACTTCTTTCTTGAAAAATCCAAGAGATAAGTTGAAATAACTGGTTCAAAGTTAGTGTATCAACATTAACACACCAGACTACGGTATAATAGAAACTTCTAGCACCCTTTAAAAGGGCTTCATATCTGAGCTTCAATGGGATACCCATTAACTGTCTGTGGTTCCTGGATACCTGGAATGTGGTTACTATGAAAGAGAAACTGAATTTTAAATCTTATTTTGCTTTGATTAACTTAAATTTAAATTGTAGCCTATGTCTGATGTGGGAGTACCCTCTGTGTGTTGCTTGTATTGGTTAATGAATAAAGAAACTGCCTTGGCCTGATAGGGCAGAACTTAGGTAGGCAGAGAAGACAGAACTGAATTCTGGGAGGAAGAAAGCAGAGTCGGGGAGATACCACATATCTGTCGGAGACAGACGCTGGGAATTTTATCTGGTAAGCCACTGCCACGTGGCAATACACAGATTAATAGAAACAGGTTAAATTAAGATGTAAGAATTAGCCAATAAGAAGTTAGAGCTAATGGGTCAAACAGTGTTTTAATTAATATAGTTTCTGTGTGGTTATTTCAGGGATAAGTTAGGAGGGCAGCCAGGATGAACAAGCCTTGCAACATATGGCTAGTGACCATGCTATAAATATAAAGGTGAATGTAATAAAAACTATGACATATAATATATGTATAATTATTTAAAAGAACAAAAAGAATCAGACACCTTGGAATAAGTTTAGTCAGCACTGTGTTAAGAAATACAGACTCCTGGTAAACTGTACAAAGCAGTGGGCACGATAGCACATTGGTTAAGGCACTTGCTACCAAGTCCAGTGGCCCACACTATGGAAGAGTTAGCTCCCACAAGTTGCTCTCTGAGCCTCACATGTTCACAATGGCACATACATACACAAATACACACACACACACACATACACACACATAAATGCACAAAAACTAAAAGCTAAAGAACTGTAAAATTGGATAACACAGAAAGAAAAATGTGCTATATTCAAGAATGAACAAGGCTATGATTGAAACTTGACATAAACACATCCAAAGCCTCAGAGGCCATCCTGGTCTTTCTGAGAAAGAACTTACATGCTTAAAAGATCCCTTGAGCAAATTATAAACACATTAAACTATATTATATACACAACTATATTATATAAACAAATTATATACACATTAAACTCTGAAAATGACTAGTAATAGTGACAAGAGACTGTCCCCAGCACCTGTGACTCTGGAGCTACAGTCTTTCTTCCATCTGAGATCAGAACTTGAAAATGCAGAGCCATAGAAAGAATTTCAAATGTGTTTCCATAAAAATAACCCTCTGTCCTCATGTCCCATTGACTGACCCACTAGAGTTTCAACCTGCAATTCAGAGAGTTGCCAACAGGTGGTGGCGTTTGGTTATGGCATTCTGAGTCATAAAGAAAATGGCATTTCAGGAAGAGGTGATGAAAAGGAAGAATGCTTTTCAGGAATAAAAAATAGAAACCTTAATGGAGGCTCACACCTGTGATTCTAGTAGTTAAAAGACTAGGAGAGAAGGACTTCCATGGGTTCAAGGCCAGCTTGGGTTTACATAGTGAGTTCTAGGTCAGCCTAGACTATGCGGAGGGAACTGTCTCCAAAAATGTTGCTGGATCAGAATCTTGCCGGACATCATGCTCCACCCCAGAGTATAGCCAGCACAGCACCTCACCCTTGCCTGTTCTTCATCTACAGCAGTGATCTCTCTGCCCCTAGGCAGGCGGAGGAAGACCTCCTTCCGCTCTGATGTCATCAGCATCCACACTTGCTAAGGTGTGGCTCCTTAGCTCCCAGGCAGTATATCAAAGGAATGGGAAATGAGCAGAGCTGGGCAGGTGACACAGATAAAAAAACACATTGGCCAAAGGAATGGCGTGCAGAGGCAACAAATGGC